TGGGAATTAAATGAATACTTAACTAAACCCATGACTCTTGAATAGAGCAATAGGCCAGGCGTGGGGAACCAAATGACTTGCATCAAGAAGATGCTTAGGCATGGGGAATGAAGGGGATGGGCAGACCTTAGGCTGGAAATTCTAGGCAGACCTGAGGGGGTTCTCTTTTAGGTTATAAATAGAGCTATTTTTAGCTAAGAAGGGGCTGGAAAATTTAGTCTTCAGAGAGGTTTGGTGAGTTGGAGAAAACTGAAAGAAAAAAAAAACAGAAAGAAATTTCCAGAAATACTGTAACTGAACACTGTCCAAAAACTGCACAAGAAATCAAGCCAGTTATCCTAACTGGGGCTGTTACTATTCCATTAGGAGATTCTGTTTGTTTTCTGCTGGGATTACTGCTATTCTGAGCTTCTATATGTTGTGGATTGAGTTTTGGTCTTACTGATTATCGAAGTTGTGTTGGTTATTTGCTGAGCTTGTGTGACTATTGAATTTCTGTTGCTATTGCATCAAAATATTCTGGTTTTCTCGACTGTCTCACTATTCTGCTTCTGGGATCGATTGTTTGGTACTCGACCACTGTGGGTTTCATCGTTTGAAACTGCTGTTGGTCGTTTGTGGACTATTGGCGACATTGTTGCTGATTGTTGTTGTTGTGTTGTGGCTGTTTGGTTGCCTGCTGTTGATACTTTTCTTCTTCTCCTTCTTATTGTCCAAACATCCAGGTACACATTCTAAATTCACTGATGTAATGATGGGTTTGGAGCTGAATAAGAAGCACAAGGTTGTTGCAGTCCAAACATGAGCATGATTACCTTTATTCTGCTGCTTGTAGTTTAGAATATTTGTGTGTCTAACAAGTAAAGTTTAGCTTTCAAACTATGTAATAAGACAGTTTTTCAGTCCATAAAGAGTTTGGTCTGGCAGTCTATTGTTGCATGTAAATCAGTAAGAAGCTAGCTGGATAGTAGTAATACTCGGCCAACAATGGCGTCACATAGGGTCTGTTAAAATGAACGCAGTAATCACATTTGTTTCGCCCTAATTCATCAGTAGATAATGTGTATTTTGAAGGCACCCTAGGCAATATGGATTATAGCCAAAAGATAAAAATCGTGTAGCTAAACACGTGATAACACCACTTAAGTTAGATAGGGTCAGCATTCAGTCGCTTCGTTTTTTAGTGTCAAACATGTAAGGAATAATTAACTGAACCTTATACGTATGCCCGTCAATAAATAAGGTCGAATATGTCTAGTTTCTTCGCCTAAAAATAATCTGCTTCGATACTATTGTGCGCCAATCTCATGTTTCAGTTTTCTCGAATAATAGAATATAGAACACGAGCAATCCCTCCTTGTACGAACTCTACTGCAACTTCTCGTTTGTGTCAGTCGTAAACCAATAACTAATAAGTTACGCCTTTTCAGCATGTAATTAATCGAGGTATTTTCTTTTTGTTTTTTAGAGACAAACTTAATAGAAAATTTAGATGCTATAGGATATCCTTTTAAAATAAAGACGAGATGAGCCTCGACAAATAAAGAACGCACAAGCTGCGGGGCCTTCGTTAAATGTATATGTCAAAGCATTCAGTTTTCGGGGCGGACCGTTTAGCAAATTCCATGGCCATACCCAAAACAACAATACGCTAGTCGCTTTAGGCGCGTATTAATAATATTATCTCCTTAAACTCGGGTGTATATTTATGTGACCCAAGTCCAAATCTCAACGGAATCGAAATGTGTCTCTAATCACGAGTATATTGATTATGGCGTGGTCCGAGGTGCATTTCCATGACGTTGCAAATTCTTTTAATAATAAATGAGATGAGCCTCGATAAACAAATGTACAAGCTGCGGGGCCCTCTAAATGTGTATATTAAAATACTTAGAATTCGGGACAGGCTGTTTAGCGAATTTCACGGCCTTTCCCAAAATAACAATACGCTAGTTACTTTAGGCGCGTATTTAATAATGTTATCTTCCTAAACTCGGGTGCACATTTATGTGACCCAAATCCCCATCTCAACAGAGTTGAAATATAGCTTTAACCACGGGTACATTGATTGTGACGTGGTTCGAGATGTGTTTTCCACGATGTTGTAATTCTTGATAAAAATAATAGTAAATGACAAAAGCGGTTAAAAGATAAAATTTGCACATAAGTTCCTATTTGTATAAAAATCAGATAATCAAGCCGAATATAACAGTTGAACAACCGTGCTAGAACCACGGAACTCGGGAATGCCTAACACCTTCTCTCGGGTTAACAGAATTCCTTATCCGGATTTCTGGTACGCATACTGTAATATGGAGTCATTCTTTTCCTCGATCCGGGATTAAAATTGGTGACTTGGGACACCCTAAATCTCCCTAGTGGCGACTCTGAAATAAACAAACCAATCCCGTTTCGATTGTCCTTTAATTGGAAAAAACTCCCTTGTACC